GGCGCGTCGGCCGCCCAGCCCGAGGGAGCGCGCAGGCGGGCGTCCGGCGGTGCCCCGAGTCGCGCGCCTCAATTCATTCGCTCCCGCGTCTCCGTCGCCTCTGCTCTCTGCCCCGTCGTCCCCCTCTCGCTCTCTGCCCCTGGCTCGGGCTCTCCCAGGCTCTCCCGCCTCCGTCCCCCCCTTTTTATTCTCTTTCACTTTCCCACCATTCCCCTCCCTCACTTCCTCTTTCGTTTATTGCTCCAACGTAGCAATCGTGTGGCCTCTCCGGCACCTGGAAGGGAACCTCAGACCCAGCGAGAGTTGTCGTCACGGGGAAACTCGTTTGTTCACTATAAGTAATCACAGAACTACCTAGCCTCTCCGTGCCTGGACCGGTGCCCTCCCGCCCGCGAGGAACTGGGGGTGGGGGTGCCCTAGCCCAGGCAGGGGTGGGGAACGCCCGAGTAATCGCAAGTGTGAATCTACAGCCCCGCGCCCTGGCTGAGTGGTAGGAAGAGAATGTCTTAGGGGCAAGATGAGGGTGTCACGGGGCCTTGGGAGGGGGTGGGGGCCCTGGAAGGCAGCACCTCCGAGGAAGTGCGGTTTCAGCCAGGGCCTGTGGGGGATGGAGGTGCTCACTGTGGCTGTGGGGTGTGGTAGGGGCTCCAGGTGGACACTGCTGGTGGGCTCCGGGCATGCAGTAGGATGGCCAGCCCACAGTCCGTCTGCTTCTGACCCAGACCCACCTCTACACTGGTCCAGACCCACCGCTGTCCTTCCCTGCATCTGCTGCTACCCTGTCCCAGAATCCACCTCTACTTTGCCCAGAATCCACTCTCCCAGGTCCCAGAACCCCTTTGTCCCTGCCCCAGAAACCAAGGCTACTGTGTGCCAGAGTCCACATGTCCCCTGCCCCAAGATCTACCGTGCCCCTATCCAGATCCACCTCTAAAGTGTCTTAGAATCCACTTCATTCTTGTGCTCTCGCCCCTAATTCCCAAGAAGGAAGAACAGATTTTCTCTCTCTTTTTTTTTTCCCCTACTAAAATAAACTACAATACATACACTGGGAAGCCATACACTGTACCACATTTGCACAAAGTGTGGGTAATCTGTGCAGACACTGGGCTTAGGAAGCTTGAAGAAGACATCTGTCCTCACCACCAATCTCAGGATGATGGCGCTGGGTAGGATGGAGAAGCTGGGAGAGCATTTGGTCAGCTCATATGCAGAAGTTACTGAAATGCAGATTTCTCCAAAGGTGCTTATAAATTCAGTCACAGCATATCACTGACAGGGTTGTCAAAGAAAAATATTCTTCATGTAGTTGCAAATGTGTTCCATGCCTGGACACACCATCTGTAGTACATTGTGAATTAATCTTATCTACAGATCCCACAATTATCTTTGACCCATGCAATTATATTGCTCTGTATTTGTTAAGAGTATTTATTTGTTCAGTGACCATATATTACCATAGACACAATTTTGCTTAACCCTACTTGCCATTTCGTGCTCTTTTCAATTTGCTGGGAGTCTCAAAAAAGAAAAGAAAATGACCTGGGCTTCATTCACTCTGTGGAAGTGACCTCTGGAGGTGAGTTCCTCCAGAAAAGGGTATCTGACCTTCTTGTGGGGGCAGGGGTTGAGTGAGAACACCAGATAAATTGTCACTGTGCTAATGGAGTAACCGAGCTGAAGACCAAGTGCATCTAAGTCGCTTGCCTTCAACTTGCCTGCCGCCCGCCCGCTCCTCCATCTATGTCTTCTCTAGGGCAGCCCTTCCCGACCTCCTCCGAGGCTGCACACCCTAT